TGAAATTACTTTTATTACATTACTCCATCTGTAATGGAGTGACTATAGGACCGGGGAACATTGAAGAATGCTTCAGAGTATTTTAAATAATTAACCTGAATAAACACATTGCTGGAGAGGACACAGATTTTGGGGTTTAAAACATTTACCTAAAAAAATGGGCATATAAACCCATGTTGGCCACTCGTGTGTGACCAACTGTCAGGGACGTCTCCCTGCCACTGCCTGCAGTTGTTTTTGGGGTAAATTGTCCATCCACCGAAGCCAGGAACTCCTTTTTTCTTCCCCCTATCCTGTTCTCTGTGTTCTTTAGCCTCCTTCCAGTTTCCTCTGCATCCTTCAGCAGGCTAGAATGGACTTCACCACAAAGCCATGACGTCCCACTTGTACTGGGTAGGAGGTAGTCTGCCAGCCAGCCTTTCTGCACCCAGCCCCCAACCTCACACAGTTGGCCTTCAAGCACTCAGAGGCAGCTTTAACCCCTTCTCCAGTGTTCTTATGTCTGTGGACCACACAACACTGTCAGGACACAGAGATGTGTGGTGAAACAAAGTTTTATATTGAGGTTGACCCTGATGTCTCTGTCCAATCAGAAATGCCAAAAGTAAAATATTATTAAATAGATTTTTAGTGGGTAGCAAACGTCATAATGCCATTAAACACTATGACAGGACCTTTATATTGTAGCATTTTCATTTTAAATGGAAAACAACAGAATATTAGCAGAAACAACCATCACAGAGCCATATAAAGTTGCTGCCAGAGCCATATAAACCTCCCGTATGGAGGGTTTATATGCCCGATTTTAAGGAATCTATCATGTAAAGTCTTTAACACAGTAAAATTTGTGGTTGTAATTCAACCAAAAATAAAACTGTTGATAAAAACAGTTACTGTCTTCTTTCCCATTCCACAGATCCCAGTAATAATTATGCATGGCAGACAGAGCCAACGGAGTCACAAGACAGGCTGGACTTCAGGCACCACAACTACAAAGAGATGAGAAAGGTCAACAGAGCCCAGAAATCTTGTCCATTTTGGATATTGTAAAAAGACCACTGCCCAACTCCACCCTGCTGTTATCTGTTGTTGTTAGCCATGGTTTATTTAAATCATTAGAAACCTTATGTGATTTTGTCAAACTCTGGTCAAAATGCAAATATCGCAGGAATGTTTTTTTTCACTTCTCTACATCTCACTTGTTTACACTATGCTGGTTGAGATACTCAGAAACCAGGAACATCTCCTAAATAGTGGCAAAAATCATGTAACCTTTGATACAGTCAGACATGAAGAAAGTTGCGTCCAACTGTTTTATTCCTGTTTGGTAAATTTTATTTTACTAATTTACTCCTTTATGTGTGTTTTTTTATCTTTGGGGGGGGTTTCTGTCAAATAACAGGTGAAAACTCGGCAAAATCATAGAGGAGCCAAATGTTTCAAGGATTATTCACAGAGTTGCAGTTACTGGAGATAGAGAAAGTTATGAGTCACACTTTTACAGCTCTGGAAAGAGGGGACTGAAGAGATGCTTTAGCAATTTGGTTCCATAGAGGTGCATCATCGATGCAGCTCTTATCCTCATGGCTCTCAAAATGGCTGATTTTAATCCTGTAACAGCAACTGTATCATATATGACACACAAGTTTTTGAGAACTCCACATAATCAGGGGGTATGTTTCCCCAAAAACCAGACTTATATAATCAGACACATTTAGTGAAAAAAAATCCATAATAAATGTCACATTTAAAATGCCAGATGTATTACAAATTATAGCAAAAACGTATCGTATGTAAAATATTGGTTGTTTTTTTAATTGTCACTGTTCAATGACAACTTTACTTTAAAAAAAATATGTTCTGATCATTTGTTCAGTTACAAACATAAAAAACTCAAAGGGAAAAAAATAAGTGAATAAAATGTATATAAAGGAGGTGAATAGAAAAGTGTGATGGAGGAGGTGGAAATGCATGTCCATAGAGATGTGTGACAGGACAAGTCCATAAAGAAGGGGAGATTAGCTTTAAGTTGTGGGATTGAGAGGGTGGTACTGTCTAACAGACAGTAGGCTTAGGTGGGTGTGGAGGAGCAGACGATGCTGCAAATTTTACTGCGAGTCACCAGGATGGAGAGGATAAAGAAAAAAAACAGATCAGAGGAACAGCAAAGGTTGGCTGTTTGGGATGCAAGGTTGGGTTGGATAGGACTTGTTTGAAGGGGAAACAGAGGATACATTGAAAAGGGGAAGTTACAGAAGGTGCAGCAAGGCAAGAGGAGAGGTGCATCTGCTGTGGTGACTCCCCGGAGGGAGCAGCTGAAAGACCTTTGAAAAATATAACATTTTACTCTTCTAAACATATTGGTAAAATTCTTCCTGGTATTCTGACCAGGCCTTTCTAAAACAAGTTAGTAATAACACACCTCCAAAGAATGTTCTTGCTGCTGGAAAGTTTGCAGAAGAAACAGCCTTAAAACACAGAATTATTCTGCTATAACATACCGGTACTTCCCATCAAGCCTATTATATTCTTTATTTGATCTTATCTAGCAAAACCGTCTCAAGTTTGATCACTGGAAATGTTTTCCATTAATCACCTCTTTTTCAATTAACTTCAATTCAGTTTATTTACATAGCGCCAATTCATAACACATGTCATCTCAAGGCACTTTACAGTTCCACCAGATCATCCAGTCAAATTGATTCAAATTTTTCTATCTAAGGAAAACCAGTTGATCGCATCGTCTCATTCACTTGAATACAATCCCTCACACTAAGCATGCTTGTAGCATTTAGGTATTTTATATAATCTCACTGCCTTTTTCATGTTTGTATATTTATGCCTTTTTTTCTAAGCTAATAAGACCTTTTTTTGTATTGTTTTTCATCTTTCTGAAGATTGTATATGGCATTTTCTGTCAATTTATTTTGGATTTTATACTATTTGGGGATAAAAACTTAAAACAGCTGAGATATAAAAAGAAAATTCTAAACCTTTGTTTGATTATAACTGAATAAGATCAAATATACAGTCAGCTGAAATGGGCTTCATCAACTGAGCTCAAATTAGAGGTAAGGAGAGAGGCTATTTATATGAGAAGAAGAGATGAAGAGCCACCTTTATTGAATGGTTGTTATCCATCCCTTCTGGCCTGGGAACATTAACCAGATGTTCTAGGATGAGCTGGAGAGTAATGCAATGGAAAGTGGTGTCTGGGTCTCCATTATAAATGCTTTTCCTGTCTGAGCAGATGAAATATTGATACAGAGCTTCTGGAAAAAGTAATGAATGAAGGAAGCCGTTGACTCCTGACATTTTTTTCCTTTACTGCATTCAAGTTTATAATGATCTTGTGTCTTTTCTAGTTGATGAAGTCCGTGCATGATGAATGCCCCAACATCACTCGCATCTACAGTATTGGGAAGAGCTACAAGGATCTGAAGCTCTACGTCATGGAGATTTCAGACAATCCTGGAAAACATGAACTGGGTGAGTTTACTGGGAAAAGAGATGGCCAGAGAGTACCAGACGTTTCTTCTTCTTTACTTTTTCTAAATATAATTGATGGGTTCTAAAATCTTTAACAATCCTGTCTTGATATTTTGCCAACCTCCATGAACAGGTTTCATTTTTTAATGTAGAGTTCATTATTGCAAAAGTTAGAGCACTGCAGGTCCTCTGCTCAGATTAAATTATCATGGAAAACCACTAGTGGCTCTGCCCAAACTGATCCTGTATCTTCTCAACAGAAAGTCATGCACACTGGTAAATCTAAAGCTGCCCTGGCTGGAGTTGCTCGATGTTTGCACTGAGATGAACAAATGTTTTCTTTGGCATGTTTAGCTTAGCCCACATGGCAGCAAATGGGAGAGATTTTCCCTCCAAAACATGGCAGAGAAGTGATTAGAGTAAAGCTGAAAGAGGCTTCATAAATAAAAGGTCTGTAAATTAATTGATTTTTATATCAATTTTCAGTTTAAATGTCTTCACCAAGACAAGATAGAAGGTAGAAAGCTTGTCAAAGTGTTTTTAAGTATGATTAAGGTAATAATAAAACTATATTGGTATAAAATTGTACATTGTTAAACCACACCACATGTAGACTGCAGGGGCTTTTTGTTTAGTTTAGTTTTTTACTCAAGCAAATAGGCTACAGAGTAGGTACCACAGCTTATATATCATATGTACTAAATGTGCAAAAAAAAATTTAAGAAGTATATTTAGAAAAATAGGTCATCTTGTATGTTATTTTAGATTTAACTACACATATAGACTTGTAAAACAAACTTAACTATTCCTTCGGATGAATAATTTTTTTTTTCTTTAGAGACATAACATTTATATACATAGTGTTTGGCCAATAGAAAAACATCATAAATTCCAAAGTCTATAGATTTTTCATTAGTAGAAAAAACAAACTGTACATCAGTAGACTGGATTCAGAACTCACAACAGAGAACCCAGTATTCAGACAGACGGACATCTGCAGACAGACACCTGCAGTGAACAGCTAGGGTGTCTTAGGCAGATAACTCTGCAGGAAAAAAACACAGGTTAGTGAACACGTCAATCTGGCGGAGGAAGATTATGAATGTGTGAGTCACTAACCTGGTGTTAAAGTTCGGTCGGTGCCCAAAGGATGAGGTAGATTCCAGCCGGTCGGCTGCCAATGAGACGTGGTGAATGCTGCCCAGAGAGTCCCAGACAATGATGCCCCGAAGACTGAAGAACAATTAGGATATCAGTTTCAAGCAGATGAAGGAAGGCAGGATAATCCAGAGGGCGAAGCCAAAGGGAGGTTCGCAGGAGTTCGGGCCAGAAGATCAGAGATCTGAAGAGGTACCGAAGGGAAGTCCAGGTCGGTGTCAGGATGCAGTTCCAGGTTCGGTACACAGGCAGAATGCAGCAGGAGTCCGAAGACAGGACAGGCAAACAGATCAGAATGGGAACAGACAGGTTTAAATATGGTAGAACGGATCAGGATCAGGCAATCGGAAACCTTAATACTTGCTAGAAGACTCTCATCAAGAGCTGAATAATCAGGCACTTATGACTGGAAGAAGGCAGGTTAAATAAGGGCTGGAGCAGGAGAAACAGATGAACAGTAATGATAATTGGGTGGAGCAAGGCAGGTGAATGGAAAGAGTAATCAAGCCTATGCTGGAAGGAGTGGACCCCTTCGTCCCTTCCAATTTGATGGATTTCAAAACAAAAACAGTCTATTCCTGACATTTTGAATTGAAAAAGATTCCTGGATGGGAAGCGAAACATCTTCAAACTTGGAAGCAAAGTCCAGTGGTTTGTTTTTAACTTTCTTTTCTTTGGAGTAATCAAGCCAGTCATCAGCTCCAAGATCATGACACTGCAGGATGTTTGGAGCTTTAGAGGTAGATCTGGTGGAGAAAAGTTCAAAACTTTGCACTGTTAAAATGCCTGTAACTCTCAGTTAAGATCTGCTATTGTTAAAGGTACACTATGCAACCGGTGTTGATTTTCCAGTGAGGCTCCCCCCAGAGGGCGAAAGTAAAAGTG